CCCCCCCCCCCATAATGAAAACAGACGTATTGACGTCAAAATGTGTGCGATAAAAATTGCGAATTAGTTTTCTGAAATGCAGCTCCTACGCAGCAATAATTTTAATAGGAAAAATTTCAAGAGAAAATTTCGAACAGAAAAATCGAAATCTATTGACTTTTTCCTATCAAATGTCTAACAGAATCTGCGCAAAAAACAAATAGAATTTTAATGAGAATTCCACAGAACTTTAATAGCATCCTTATAGAATTTCTAGAGAATCAGAATAAAATTGTCTAGCGAATTTATTCGTACGTGATATTAAATCTCAAGATGAGGGGGAATAAATAAATTCTAGAGAGTGATGATTTTCATGATTTAGGCAGTGTGGGTGTTTAGTCTGATCGATTACGAGCCACCTACATACGGAAATGGAGCGTATATGTATCCCTTGTGGGCAGAGGCACTTGGTTGGGGTATAGCATCGCTATCTCTAATTTGCATTCCGGCATTCGCTGTCTACGTTCTCATACGATCGGATGGAATCAATTTTACTGAGGTATTGAGCCCAAGAAATCCCGAAAAACCTTCGTCAGGTTCAACTTCGTTCCTAATTTTACCAAATATTAGAAAACAAAACTTTTAGGTCTTGTGAAAGGTGAAATCACCCCATTGAAACTTTGGGGAAAATTTAAATTTCATTTTGTCATACTGACACAAGCACTCATAAAAAAATATAAAAAATGGATATAATATGGGCCAATTGCATGTATTTTTCAAATTTATGAACAATATATGAAAAAATATATCAAACTTATATTTTGCAAAATGAAATAACGATAATATAAGATAATATATGTTTTATATATTTAACAGATATTATATATTTTTCTATAAAAAAATATAAAAATTACAAATAAATAACATATAATAACAATATAATATAATAAGATATAATATGAATTATAATATATAATAAATATATTCATTATATTTTTTTATAAAAAAAAAATATAAAATTATATATTTATATATTATATAAATAATAATTGATTGATTGATAATCGATTTTTTATGTATTTTTTTATAAAAAATAAATAAATCAATTATACGAATTGTACGAATAATATTATATTATGTTTTTTTTTAAATAAAAAAATACATAAAATATGTTTTAAATAATCGATGTTTAATATATAAAACCTATATTTCATATATTTTTTAAATACAAATTGGGCCAATTTAGGACATTTTTTCTATATTTTTCAAAACATAAATTGTTCCATGCACAACTCCCTCAAATTAATGCCCTCTCAAATTCCCTAAAAAAAATGTCCCCCCCGATCGATGAAATTTCAATCGAGTTCACCCGCCCGTTGAATTAAATTTTTCAGAAACTTCGAAATGCAGTTAGGCCTCACTTCGAGGCCTGCAAACTCTGTGGCGAGGAATACTGCACAGATCCACTCCACAGTATGGATGAGGAAGTGCTGAAGGAGCCCCTCCACGAAATGAATAGTCTGATTCATCCGACTCCAGTCAGTTTTATCCCTGTAAAGTCCCAAATGTAGCCCCACCGCAACAATAAATAGACAATTAAATCTTCGTTAGACCGAGTTGTCCGTTGAATTCCGAAAAACCCGAAAAAAAGTCGAATCACTGTTGCAGTGTAATCGAATGCTGGCATAAAAGGCACTGGCGCTCTTGTTTCAATGGCACAGGGGATGAGTAAACGGTAACTCAGTTACCTGTTCATGCTCGTGGGTAGTTTTGCTGTGACGTGGACAGAGAGCGATGAAAATTGGGGGCGAGGGAGGCGCGGGGTGATGCACAGGGCTACAATGGGGGTTGCGCGCCAGAGAAAGCTCCTCTCCCTCTGTACAGGCGTATTGGGGGCTCCAGTACTGAGAGAGGTAGGTATCTACGTTCAGTAGACGATCGTGCGTGCTAGTAGCACACTCAGCTGCCTAACAAAACAAATTATTCAGTTGGAAAAATAAATCAAGCAGTCAAATCCCATCACTCGATCAGGCCAGACGACAAACTGTGATAATCAGTATTTTTCGCTCTCCTCGGGTGTCTTTTTAAACTCCGTGTAAGATTATTCTTCTAATCTGTAGCGCATTCGGCAGTCGTTCTCCCTTTTTCGCAATTTTTTTCACGTGACAGAGGATTAAATGGTTGAGTGAGAGAGCTTCGAATAGGCACGACTACTTGTTGCGTTGGGACACGTGCGGAAACAATCTGTTGAATACGGGGAAATACTTGAGTTTGTTGCTCTACGCTTCTCCCTTTTGCGGAATGAGAGTGAGTAGAGTGGAGCCGAATCAGCCAGACGGGGGTTCATCGGGACTTGATTATGATTTCGGTGGCGAAGTGGTTGAACGGTTCAAGTCGATTTTGGCTATTACCCAGTTTTCAGTGAATATCACGGAATCTAAGGGAGGTAGCAAAATTTTTCTCATTACCTTTTTTGTAGCACCCAATTCGCTCTACAAAAAAGGTCATTATGAAAATTTCACTATCTCCCTTCAATTCGGAAATATTTATGGAAAACTGATTATGATTTCAGTGGCGAAGTGGTCAAACGGTTCAAGTCGATTTTGGCTATTGCCCAGTTTTCAGTGAATATCTCGAAATCTAAGGGAGGTAGCAAAATTTTTCTCATTACCTTTTTTGTAGCACCCAATTCGCTCTACAAAAAAGGTTATTATGAAAATTTCGCTATCTCCCTTCATTTCGGAAATATTTCTGGAAAACTCATTATGGTTTCAGTGGCGAAGTGGTCAAACGGTTTAAGGCGATTTTAGCTATTGCCCAGTTTTCAGTGAATATCTCGAAATCTAAGGGAGGTAGCAAAATTTTTCTCATTACCTTTTTTGTAGAGCGAATTGGGTGCTACAAAAAAGGTTATTATGAAAATTTCGCTATCTCCCTTCATTTCGGAAATATTTCTGGAAAACTCATTATGATTTCAGTGACGAAGTGGTCAAACGGTTTTAGTCGATTTTGGCTATTGCCCAGTTTTCAGTGAATATCACGGAATCTAAGGGAGGTAGCAAAATTTTTCTCATTACCTTCTTTGTAGCACCCAATTCGCTCTACAAAAAAGGTTATTATGAAAATTTCGCTATTTCCCTTCAATTCGGAAATATTTCTGGAAAACTCAACTAAAGATTAAATTGACTTAAACCGTTTGACCATTTCGCTACTGATTTGTTTACTTCTGTCGCCCCCGCGAGGCGAGTTAGCGCTTGTGCGTAACAAACGACATTAATATTCATAAATTTCTTTCAACGCGGGCGGGGAATGTCGGGCGATGGGAAGAGCTCTAGTTAAAATGAACTTTAATCGTTCTGAGGAAACGAAGAAACACTAGTGGAAAATTCAGGAGCGCTGGCCAGTTTTCGACAAATATCTCGGAGTCTGATAGAGATGGAACAATTTTCGTCATGACACTTTTTGAAGAGCCAGTTGAGGGCTACAAAAAAGGTCATGAGGAAAATTTCGATATCTCTGTTAGATTCCGAGATATCCATGAAAAATTTCGAGTGAAAATTTTCAAGTTCTTAACGACGAAAGATTTACGTGGAATTTCCCCTGTGAACGAAAGGGCCCAACCATTCGCCCCGAAAGAGCGAATTCATCCGCTAAAATATGAACATTTTTCCCGAATAATTCAGTAGCGAAATGGTAACCCGGGTTAAACCGATTTTGACTATCAGCCAGTTTTTACCGAATATCTCGGAATCTAAAAGAGATAGCAAAATTTTTATCATGAACTTTTTTGTAGAGCCAATTGAGGGCTATAAAAAAGTTCATGAGAAAAATTCTGCTATCTCCCCTAGATTCCGAGCTATTCATCAAAAACTGGTCAAAAGTCCAAATCAACTAAACTCGGTTTACCACTTCATTACTGAATTCTTGTTTCGACTAATGATTTTTTCTCGATAAAGAGCCACGCGCCCGAGGAGCATGGATTTCCCATAGTGTGAATGCAGTGGAGAGAAAACAGGGGGGAGGGTGTAGGGTCAGGGACGATCGAGACATGTTCAATAATAAAACCGTAGGGTATATACGCCCGTGGAAAATGAAGCTGAAAAAAATCCCCATCGCGTCGAGATATTTTTTCTACTCTTTGTCATATTAAACGTGTCATCCCAGCAGAGTGGATCGTTGACGCAGAGGCGCGATGAAGGCACGTCAAGAAAGCGCTTAACTACGATTAAATGAAACGTAATAGAGGCCTGTTTGACGCGGGGTATTATGTGGAGCTAAAAAGAAGCTCATTCACGCGCCCATCCGCTTTTTACCGTGTTAAAATCAAATTTCATTTAAAATCAACTCAACAGATATTGAGAGAAATGTTGAAATCACTGTTGAAAATGCATTTCAATGATTCAGTATCAGTAAAGAAATTTAATCTCCTTGAAACAGACATAAAAAAGTGTAAAATGTCACCCCATAACGGCTCTTGCATGGCAGAATCGAGTTCGGTACGTAGTTTATCATCGGACGATGTGTCAGCAACAAAATCCAGGAGCAAATCATGCTGGGCGCGTGCAACAGATCCGGCTCATCGTCGCGGCAGGCGTATCCAATTGCTGCAGATGCTTGTACTACCATTTATACCGATACTTGCCCTAATTGTACAGACGGCAAATACACTCCACGATATTCTCATTTATCGTCAGGAAGTGTCCGACATTGAGACCCAGGTAAATCTTTCTTGTTCATACGGCCCAATATTTTTAGTATTTTTAGAAAACTCCAGGATGACACGCATGAAGAAAATTAATTAAAAACCTAGCGAATTCGCTAAAGATTCTATTAATATTCTATTGAAAAACTCTATTTGTTTTTTCTCAAAACAAAATTTTCACGAATTGAGGCACCTCGTAAATTTTTTGTTTTTAAAAAAAGTGTTGAAGATTTTCAATTTAGAATACCGAAATTTAATTTTCTATTGAAAAAAGTTTTCTAAACATTCGTCATAATAATTTTCGTCATAACACGTGGAGAGGATTAGAATGTCATCTTTAATTTGCCATTTTTTTCTCCCATCAAAAAGGAATTTCAATTCACTGAAATGGTACAATTTGCTCATGTCCCCTCGCCATCACCGGGGAAATAATAATTGAACGAAGAAGGCCACCATCAAGGCCCACTGCGCCAACCATAACTGCGATATTAATTGAGCTATTGAAAGAAAATAGTGGCACAGTATCAACCCCTTTTTCTCAAGACGACGATGTCGTTATACTTTCATAAAAACGTCGCAGATGTGTACCTTCTCCCCTTTTATTTTTTTATGTACGATCGATCAGACCAGTTATATGCCGTCGAGTAGTGGAATGAGTGTCGTACAAATATGTATTAAACGCACCCATGTACCCTTTTATTATACGACTCTCTCCCGGAGGAGAATAAAACCAAATGTACACAACTCGAGTCATTTACATGGTTTCAATGCACTCGGAGAACACAAAAGATTGTCCTGTAAAAAAGTAAACAAATACCTTTGAGTAACGACACACATTTTTTTACCGATGGCTCACTCGACGAAACGTACGAAATTATTTTATATAAAATAGAGTCGTTTCTTAATTCACCCGAATCCGCAAAATCCGTAAACCGAGTTAAGTCGATTTTGACTATTAGCCAGTTTTTGCTGAATATCTCGGAATCTAAGAGAGATAGCAAAATTTTTCTCATGACTTTTTTTATAACGCTCTATTGGCTCTACAAAACAGGTCATGACAAAAATCTTTCTATCTCTTTTAGATTCCGAGATATTCGTCAAAAACTAGCCAATAGTCAAAAACGACTTGACCCGGTTTACCGCTTCGCTACTGAATTATTTTTCTTGTTGGAATATTCACAGCCCTTGTATTATTGTACAAAAACAACTCGACAAAGATTCATGACATACTGGGAAAACAGGTCTAGAAGGAGATTAATTTACGATTCGGTGTGCCCTGCACTGGACAGCGGTTTAATCCTAAACACATGCAGAAATTTGAAGAATTTATTGGTAGTCAGACAGTTTTTCCCGGCACAAAATTTCCCGGACAAAATCTTTCTGAAAAAAATTTCCCCGGACAAAATCTCCCCAGACAATTGCCTTTTGCGAAATTTCCTCGAAAAAATTCCTTTCGACAAGTCTTCTGAGGGGTGAATTTTCCGCAAATAACAATCCGTATGAATTTAATTCTTTTGTAATTTCATTGAGGCTAAAGACTCGATAATTTCATGTGTTCTAGTGTGCGATTCAGCAATAACAACCCCTTTAATTGAGCATTATCGTTATATTTATTTTGGTCCGATCCGGTTTCCTAATCGCAAATTCCTTTTCCAGGGAGATTTTATCCGGGGAAATTCTTTTTCGGGGAGATTTTGTCCGGGAAATTTTGTCCGGGAGATTTTGTCCGGGGAAAAATTGTCCTAGAATCACATTTATTTACTCACTTGCACCCATATTCCATCATTTCTAATTAAAACTGAAAAATCAGGTGACGATAGCTACGGATCTCGGTGTCGTCGTGACGCGTTTGCAGCTTGAGCGATCTGAGGTGGCATTTTTTATATACACCAACGGTAGCAGATTGAGGTATGTTTAACCCTGACCGTATGTCAACGCAAAAATATCGAATGCCATCCAAAAATAGACGATGCGCATTATTCCAAAAAATCTCATCATCAGCGACAGCGGCATTAAATTTTTTTGCAAAAATAATTCACTGAACTGTGAGCGCAGAAAAAAAAAAAAAAAACCCGGTGGCCTGGCGTAGTGGTTAAGGCCGTTGCCTCACAACGGATAGGTTCCAGGTTCGATTCCTGGCCGAGTAGAATAGTGAGATCTAACCATTTTTAAAGTCTTGATCAATCGCCATATAGTCTCATCAGACTCGAAGCCATATAAAATAAGCATTAAAAAAAAAAAAAAAAAGAATCAGCTGCAGTCGATTTTTTTTCACCTTGTCTTTGATATCGCGAGGCATGCGGGTACAATCGCAAGTTCCAAGAGTTTATCTAGGGCATGGTCGACACCCCATTTCCTCCGAGCGAAAAATCCAGGGGAGATACCGATGAATGTAAACAAACCAGAAGACGCAATTCACTGAACTTAAGTGGGTGAGCAATTTAAAGGAAGGAAGAATCGATAGCAGCCGATTTGTTCTCGAGGAAAAAAAAAATAAGGGATGATCTGGGGGGGGGGTGGTCTGCTTCGTGATGCTGGAGGCGCTGTGGGAATTAATATCGTGTATTTGGGGTGCTGATAGCGGCCAGTATGACTACCCGAGATTCAACTTGACCCAGAGATACGCAACGACGGATGAGACGTTGAAGAACTTGACGACTTGGCCGTTGGTGACTGTTCCAACGGACGAGGCTAAAACTCAGACCTACGACGTCGTTAACAGAGAGGCGTTTCAAGCCCGATTGGACGATTTCAGGTGATTTTTTTCATTTACTAGAATAGGCCGCCCCAATAATACAAAGTTATTTATGCTTAAAATGTATTACTGTTTTCATGAAATGAATAAACTTTAAATTGAAAAAAAAAGAGGAGAGCACCCGATGGATAATCGGAAGGTCCCAGGTTCAAATCTCGGTCTGGACTACCCATTTTTTCAGTAAAAGTTTTCTGGTTATTCATATTGAGAATAATCCTGGTTCCCGGGAGAATCGAACAATAAAAGCATTGGGAAATAAACAAACAATGACCCACACACACTATCCCTCTCGTATTCAATTTTTGGAGGCCTACCATACGGTACAGGTATTGATCGTATGAGTGGAGTATCGGTGTGCAAAGATATTTTTTTTTTCAACCCAGCAATCACTCAATGACCAATATAGGCATTCAGGTCGGCGTAATAAATTCGCTCAAAGCAGAGCATCTAGGGTGGCAGGTAGCCGGCGCGCGCGCGTGACATGGATGACCGCACCACCGGTCATTTGGAGTACCTAAATGTTCTATATGCAGGAGTAAATGGAGTCCTAATCAACTCGATCAATTTTACATTGTCAGCGGAATTCCGTTGTCGCGACGCTTTACTGAAACCCGATAAAATGAAAATTATTGGGTTTATGGGTGGGATTGAATTAATAACTCTGGGAATTTAATTTGAATGTGACTCTTCATTCAGTCGCACGTAGAAGACGCATCTTTGCTCTTTGTCCTTTGTTCTGTTTTGTTCGCAGTATTCGTAGTCGCCCGCCGTGCGGTCGTCGCGTAATATAAACACCAGAGTTGCCAGCTTGGGCGATTTGCCGCCAAATGGGCGATTTTCGAAGTTCCTTTGGCGTCTAAATATGGACGTTAGCGGTTTGCCGATAATTTGGTGTGGTCGTAATATTTAGGGCTCGAAGGAAAAATATTATATTTGAAAAATCTTCGTATGATGAATTATGGTACGACTCACAACATCTACTTTCACAAGTTACTGATTTTCTTGTTTACATATCTGTATTCAATTCTGCTGTTCCAACTTTATTTAGCCATCGTTCCCGACAGTGAGGAGCAGAAAATATCCTTTAAAATGTCCCTTAAGTTTCCGAACTGTTTCTTCTGGAAGCTATTCTCTGAAGCATTTTTAAAATTAACTCATCAATTATTTCCGTTTGTGTTTTGACACGCTCCCATGATGACTTTATTTGCATTTGTAAATCTGATTTATTGGAGATCCTTGTGAGGTCTCTACAGGGGTTTAACGAATCGTCTTGATAATATCGAAGTTTATTACATTAAACATTCATTCATAGCCTGGTGAAAAAATAATTATATAAAAAATGGGCGATTTTTTGGCGACACTAGCACCGACTTTGGGCGATAGGGAGGGGAATCCCTGGCGACAAGACCTCTGAAATATCTGGCAGCCCTGATAAACACAGTTTTAAGGATGTTCGACACCCTTTTAGCCAAAATTGACATTGTTTTCATTTTTCTGGCAAATTATCGATGAGAGTGACGTGAAAAAATATAACGATTTTGTGGTTTGTCATTCTTTAATGGCTCACGAAGTTGCGTAGTGGTGCGATAATTTTCATGCGTTTTTTTCTACAGTTTTGTGATTCTTTTTAAAAGTTTAGAGAAAACGCAGGAAAATGTCCGCACCACCTTAAAATTTCGTCAGTCATTAAATAATGACAAAACGCAAAAACGTTATATTTTTTCACGTCAATTCGATCATAAGTTTGCCAGAAAAATTAAAAAAACGTGAATTTTGGCAGAAAGGGTGTAGAACATCCTTAAGAACCTCAGTCTGAAGAATTTAATGTGGTGACACTGAAATGTGTCGATCTGTGTAGATTGATTTTTGAATACTCTTTCGTTCCACGAAATCCGCCAAAAATTCCCGTGATTTTCAGGCAGAAAATAAACGAGGAGAGCAGTATATCCGAAGTAATGGCCTGGTACGAGAACGTTAACGCAGAAATGTTGAATATACTGACCAATCAGATCAAGGAGACTGATAACAGCGGAGTCTGGAGGTACCTCAGACGAAAAAAAACCTCCCCTCTCCCCTCGTCCTCCGGTATTCATGAAATATTGATTGCAGATATTTAATCGCCTTTAAGAATCTACTGCGGAGCATCGAGAGCATAGGGATAGCCTCGGTTTACGGGATCAATTATTTCGGGCGTGGAGTACTCCTCCGGGAGAATTACGTTAGTTATATCCGTCACGAGGCACTTGGAAGAGATCTCCTCAACGGATCTCTATCGTATGTGCCGGACCTCAAGGCTTTGTACACCGAGCTCACTCGGACAATGCCGGAATACGGTAGAATAAAATCGAGGTAAACACATCGTCCGGCGAAAAATGGTGAAAATTAATGATTAATCAGCACGTTTTGACCGCAGGCGAGATGAGATTTTACGTAATCTCTTCCGGCAGCCGAGTATCGGGGACGCAATAGATTATTTCGACTCTATGGCGACGTATGTCGACGAATTGAGAAAAATCCAAACGGAATTGCGTCATATGATACGGTAATTAAATTATCTGTCGTGATTCCCCCTGAACACGCTTTGATCACTGATGCTTGGTATTATCGACAGAAACTACGTCAATTCGACGCTTCAAGACGCCAGCAACAAGCAGGTCGCGGGAATAGCCATTGTAGCACTTGTTCTCGTGATTTCGCCGATTATAATTATTCTCGTTCGAAATGCTGTTGCAACGATTCAGGTAGTGCCACGGAATTTATTCAGTGTCATGAAATTTATTCCAGAATTCTATTGAAATTTGTTTTATTTCGTAGTTGTTGGCCTCTGCGATCATTTGCTGAGTCGAAGGGATGAAATTTATCATTTGGCAAGTGACTGCAGAGGGCCCCTAGTGGAAAAACATAAGGTGGAGGCGTAACATGCCTGATCAGAATTTCGGATCGGACTTGATCAGTTTCTGATCGAGACCTGAACAGAATTTCCACTCGGGTATGAGTCAATTTGAGAGTGAAATTCGTAAGTGTCCTGGTAGCTCAGATGGTAAGAGCACCCGACGCGACATTGAGAGGTCCCGGGTTCGAGTGCCGGCTAGGAAGTTACTAATTTTTTCTCTCAAAAAAATTAAATTAATTAATGCCTAATGATGGTAGGTGGAGAAATCCTAGTGGAAAAACATAAGGTGGAGGCGTAACATGCCTGATCAGAATTTCGGATCGGACTTGATCAGTTTCTGATCGAGACCTGAACAGAATTTCCACTCGGGTATGAGTCAATTTGAGAGTGAAATTCGTAAGTGTCCTGGTAGCTCAGATGGTAAGAGCATCTGACGCGACATTGAGAGGTCCCGGGTTCGAGTCCCGGCTAGGAAGTTACTAATTTTTTCTCTCAAAAAAATTAAATTTAATTAATGCCTAATGATGGTAGGTGGAGAAACCCTAGTGGAAAAACATAAGGTGGAGGCGTAACATGCCTGATCAGAATTTCGGATCGGACTTGATCAGTTTCTGATCGAGACCTGAACAGAATTTCCACTCGGGCCAATAACTACGAAATAAATTGAAGAATTCGGCTGGAAAATTTCTCCACGACTTCATATTTCAACAGGTATATGCAGCAAATCTAGCCCAAAAGGCGAGGGAACTGAAGCGAGAGAAGAGGAAGAGTGATACCCTATTATTTCAAATGCTTCCACCGTCCGTTGCCCAACAACTCAAGCAGACGCAGCAGGTTGAAATGCGTATGCATGCTAAACACTTAATCTCGAATGTTTTATATCCAATTTATGACGAATTTTTTTTCCTCGGTTTTAAGGTGCCCGCTGAATATTACGAGGCTGTCACTGTGTATTTCAGTGACATTGTTGGCTTTGTGGAAATCGCAGCGGAAAATACACCGCTGGAGGTAATCCATTGGAATTTTGAATTCAATTTTTTTTATTGCTTCTGCATCTGTTGAATCAATTTCCCTTGTTTTATTGCGAGGGATAATCATAAAAAAAATTCGCTCCATAAATTTTCATTCAAAATTCATATTTCATGGTTTTATTTTTTTTTAATTCAGGAGCGAAGCGGTAAAACGGGTCAAGTCGATTTTGACTTTTGACCAGCTTTTGATGAATATTTCGGAATCTTGGAGAGTTGGCAAAATTTTTCTATTACCTTTTTTGTCACCCCCCGAAATTGTCACGTAATTTTTCCCGAAGAAGTAAAATCTTACAGAAACTTGGCGACTTATTGTGCCTCAAAAATAAAAAATTCTTGAACGTTCAACAATTTTTATGAAGCTGGTGAGTTATTTCTACGTTCCGTTCCGTAAAATTTCTTAATCGTTGGAGAAAAATTACGGAACGACTTGTCCCCCCCAGCGGTGAGTCATCAGACGGCTGTAATTTTTACGGAACAAATCGTTGAATTTACGTGGCGATTTGTACAATTTCAGTTCCGACTCACTTTTTATTGAATTTGACTTCGCTCGCGGATTACCTTTCAAAACGTAATTTTCGCGTTTTTTCCGGTAATTTTTATTGAATTTCTGTCCCGAAAAATTTTTCCATCTCTTTTACATTCCGAGACATTCGTCAACAACTGGCTAATAGTCAAAATCTCCTCAACTCGGTTTCCGCTTCGCTACTGAATTGATGCGACAAAATGAAGCTTCTGTTATTTCGTAGGTGGTGACATTTTTAAATTCGATTTATAAACTGTTCGACGCGAGAATCGAGTGCTACGATGTTTACAAAGTGGAAACTATCGGGGATTCTTACATGGTTGCGTCTGGATTACCCGTTCGAAACGGTAAAAGTTTGTTTCCATTCCCACAACATCTGTGAAGATCGTAAATATGTCAGGTTCGAGGAGCACATGTTTCAGGTGACAAACACGTATCGGAGATTGCGACGATGGCCCTGGACTTGTTGGCCGCATCATCTGTCTTTCAAGTACCAAAGAGACCTGGTGAACGCCTGCAAATTCGCAGTGGAGCGCACACTGGGCCAGTGGTTGCTGGCATTGTCGGTACGAAAATGCCTCGGTATTGTCTTTTCGGGGATACAGTCAATACAGCGAGTAGAATGGAGTCCACTGGAGAAGGTAAACGGAGTTATGAAACTCGAAGAATTTTGGATTTCTTCATTATTTAATTGGAATTTTTCATGAAATCTGTGGCCCATTGAATTTCCCTTTCCAAGGTTTGTCCTTTTACCAACAAAATTTGTCAAACTATTTTCGATACATCATTATCTAAATGAATTGAATCTTCCATAAATTTTTGGACTTGCCGTGAAATTTTTGACTTCAAGGTTTGTCCTTGCAGCTTTAGAAAAATCGGTAAATAAAGGTTTAACTTTCGAATTTCACGGGATAAACGATTTATTTCGCTTAAGTAAATTATTCCACTGGACGGGTCCTTTGGAGATTTTATCTAGGACTTTTCCTTGCAGCTCTTCGCATTCACATAAGTCTGGAGATGAAGAAGGCCCTAGATGCAGTCGGTGGTTTCAAGATCGTGCATCGAGGGCTCGTCGACGTCAAAGTAATAATATATTATTTCTATTTTTTTGAAAAATCAGTAGAATTCCTCCACAATTTTTTAAATTGAGTCTCAACATGAATTTTCTCAGATTTAAAAATTTGATTGTTCTTCTCGAAATGGTTTCCATTGCACATTTCTGTCGGAAAAAATGACGAGATTACGATTTCTTTGGCGCCACGATTTAACTTATGTTTTCCGTGCCATTTTCCCAAAGTTTACGGGAAAAATAATGAAAAAATTCCATCTCCATTATTCCTCCTGAATTATAGAGATTCTTCACAGAAGACGGAGGTTCATATAGCGTTCCACATCTTGTGGCGTCACTGGATATTGCAGGATAGGATTTTGAAGCAGGTATGAGGGGACCCAGGATAATTCTCAATATTAGTTGACAAGACAAATTTACTGAAAAAATTCCAAAGTCCAGACTGAGATTTGAACCCGGGACCTTCCGATTATGTATCAGGTGCTCTCCCAACTTGAGGTAAGGTCACAAGGGTCACAAAAAAGGAGTCACTAAGGTCACGAAGTCACAAGGGTCACATAAAAAAAATGAGTCGCTAGGGTCACGAGGGTCACAAGGGTGACACTGCCTCGGTTGAATGCGTTTCTGACTGAAAATTCTTTTGTTGCATATTTTGTTGACTGAATTTTTGCGACTGCTGTTGCAATTTTTTCAGAAAAAAAATTCAATCAAAAAAATCTCCAACAAAAAAATTCCCATTAAAATTGAGTTTTGTTGTTTTGATGCTGTAAATATAATCATTGAATTCAAACGTGGGAATACGAAGCTTTACGGAAATGTTCGTATCTTGAAAAATAATGATTGAAACACTTGTACCCCAAAAACCAATTGAGGGAATTTTCCTTCATTTTCCCGTATTCCTGGGGGAAATGGTACGGAAAATATGCGTCAAATAGCGGCGCGGAAGAAGTCGGAATCTTCCCCCGGTTTTTCTAGAATTTTCTGGAATTTTCCGGAATTGTCTCATTTTTGGTTTCGCGCCAAAACGAAGCCAAATCACTCCGGATTTGTTTCCAGGGCAAAGGTCTGATGGACACCTACTGGCTGGAATGCAAAGACGGTGGGATAGCGCGAGCGACCGAGCTCGACCTTCCCACCTTCTTCGAGGACGTCCGGCCCGTCTTCATGCGCCGCCTGCGCGAAGAGGAGTCGCTCTGATGCGAGCCGTACTCCCGTCGGGATCTCTGGTACCTAAACCGACAGGGGCCCCTTCGTCCGAACCCTTGCATCCGCCTCTCCCAGCCGAACCTCCTAGACCACCTGAAGAGGCCGAGTCTGACCCCGGGAAATCCAAAGAAGACTCGGCTCTCCCAACCGAACCTTCACATCAACCCAGTCAAGCCCCCGGCCCCCCAATCCCAGTCATCAATAGACTCCCAGGATTCAAACATCACCGAGAACACTCGATCGACCACTCCATTACCCCCGAGCTACTCACCAGCGAGCCAGAGGTCTCGCTACTCCCAGCCCAATCTCCCCACCCTCATGATACCCTACAACAGCGACAACTCCAGGTCGAGTGCATCTCCAGACAGGAGATACAGAATGTCTCAACCAACTCTCAATTCAAGTTTCTCTGGGTTCAATTTCGTTGGCTCAAAATTATCGTACAACAGCCTACGAACGTCCGGGGATGTCTCCATCAATTATCAGATCAAGGAGGACAGACTGTCGACTCCAAACGTCCACTCATACATGGAGGCGGTTAATTTTGGAAGAAAATTGAGTGGCCAGTACATCTCACCGTCAAAATTGTTCTTCGGCCCTACGGGGAAGAGAGATAGGCTCTCCCAACCGACACTGGTTACTGGTGATTATTATCCAGGTCAGTTAATATTTTCTCTACACTGAGAACATTTTTTTTTCTCAGTGTAGAGAAAATAATAATAATAATAATAATAAAATGTAATAATTATAAAACTGAAAAATCAATTATTTGAAATAATAATAATTCTTTTCAGTAAAATATAATGATAGTTTTTAATAATATCTGCCGTTAGAAGGACGGTGGCGATATACAATAGTGTATATATATATATATATATATATATATATATATATATATATGTGCAATAATAATAATAAAATGTAATAATTATAAACCTAAAAAATCAATTATTTGAAATAATAATAATTCTTTTCAGTAAAATATAATGAGTTTTTAATAATATCTGCCGTTAGAAGGACGGTGTCGATATACAGTAGTATATATATATATATATATATATATATATATATATATAT